GATATTTTCCATGGTATGATTTAACAATTAAAAATGAAATGTGATGTTTATAGGCCAATATAATTGATACTCTAGCGTTCATAGATATATAAGAGACATTCTCTAAACGTCCTTTTGCTCTAAGCAATCCATTTTCATCGATTATGGGGCATAATTGCTGTAATCGGCATGATTTCTCGATCTCATGACCATTTGTTAATGCAGCCATTTCTACAGGAAAGCATTCCCATTGTGGTGCTTTTCTAAACAATGCATTCTCTACACAAACTATATCATTATAGCATTCAAAGTGTTTTTATGTTACTTCATACGCGAAGTTAGCGATTTTCAGAGTTGGTTGGAAATGCTAACATGAAGCTTTAGCGTGATAATTTATTAGCTAGAGAATGATCTTTTAGATAGATAGGTAGGTGGATAGTTCCGTTAGAGTACGGCAGTATGAAAATCGAATAGAAGTTTAAAATGACCGAAGGGCCATTAATGCGACAGTTTTTAAAGATAGACGCACATCTTTTGCCTAACCCGTACGATGTACGCGGAGACTTGAAGTATGTCTCCAAGTCTACAGGCAAAACTTGTGCGTCCCTCTTTTGCTCATAAACTGACTGCGGCTGTGGAATAGTTCTAGCGACGTTTTCATTACTACCTAAAGCGCGTTGCGAGAGCATTTCCAGTCGTTGGTGTGTTATAATGCAATTCTTCTTTACCCAACTATTGTGTTGCTCCTCTCGTCATGACCAACTTGGTCATCTCAGAGAGAAGGCAGTAGGGTGGTTGTTGCGTGCTGTACCATCATCAGCATTGTTGACGGTTACTCCCGCCTTGAGTTGTTACATTCAAAGTGTTTTTATGTTACTTCATACGCGAAGTTAGCGATTTTCAGAGCAATATATATATATATATAAATTAGACCTGTTCATTTTAAACGAAATGTTCGGAATGTAACGGGTCAACCGTGATTACTGTTCTTCATGTTAATTTGAACTTCTCTGCAAATGTTCAACAAAATCGGTGATGATTTAGAGGTTCTTCAAGTTAATTTTATGTTTTTAAGGTAATTTACGGCTTATAATATTTGTATCTCGAGACTGAAACAACGAAAACTGCTGTAACAACTTTCATAGCAAAGCCTAATGTGTTATCTATCAACTTTGCAACCATAGGTTGATAACTCTATACGTTGTTGTTGCTACACTGGCAGAAATCGACTCTCAATTTCAACTTCTCGGATAGTCTCGGTTCGATTGAGGCTATTCGGTCGAAGAAAACAGGTAGACACTCATCTCATTCCTTTTCAAAGGGAGCAATATCATCGACTTTTGAATACCCTAGAGGCCCAAGGACGACAATCCTATAACCCTATCAGAGACGTTTTGAGAACCTGCAATCTGTGCTATATGCAGTCGATTTATGTGTTTCTGCAAATGTCTAGTACAAGAATTTAATTCCTTTATCTTATGTCTCTATTAATTTTTGGTTGTCTTATCTCCCCGTTTTGATGAGTCTCATCGTCGCCCACTGATCACCATAGCCGGTTGAACTTCAGACGAATCTAGAACCGCACTTCCGTCCATACTGGTGACAACGCTCTGATGAGACAACGAAACCCCACCCCCAAGCTCCTCCCTTGATCCTATTATTCGATAATGTAGCGCTCTATCCTCGAGTAAGCCGCGAGTATTCGGCACAACAGAGTATACAGTATTTTTGTTGTGGGAGCATACTAGTTGATAGATGGGGCGTATTGCCTCGCCTAATTGAAAAACCCCAGCAGGCCTTAGGCATAACATCTCTGATCACGCCTTCCTTCGGAAGGGAAGTAAAGCCGTTGGTCCCCGGTTCATGAGTTGATGGGTCGATAGGTAGGGTCGAGGTGTGTGAGCTGCCTCCCTGGCGTCGGTTAGCATTGGTACTCAGCACGGAAAACAAAATCAACGGAAAACAAACCAAAGGAAATCCCTTCGTTTATCCTTTGCTGATGATCTCTCAAAATCTATATGTACGTGAAATCTTTACAAAATGCTTTGGTATGAGATGAATTGCATGCTCTTAAATGCCAGTAAATGTACTGTAGTCACATTTTCGAGAAATATGACTCATTTAAACGTTGGCTTTTCCTTGATGGACACTCAATTGCAGAAGGAAAACCAAATTAAAGATTTAGGAGTGATTCTTGACGAAAAACTCACGTTCAAGCCGCATTTGTCGTTCGTAGTCGCGAAAGCCTCATGAAACCTTGGCTTCATTTTTCGGGTAGCAAAAAAGTTCCAAAATGTATACTGCCTGAAATCACTATATCACGCGACTCTCTTAGAAGACAATCATACTTGTCATTCTCCTCTGTGAGAGACAAGAGCTAACATTCAAATCTTCTCGCTCTGTTCGTTATAGAAAGAGCACTACATGCAGTATCTATTCACTACACCCTTACTGTGTGTGTAGTTTTAGGAATGCACTGTGCGTTGAGATTAGATCTCTATACACTGGTGGGAACTAGTAAGCGACATAAGAGCTTAAGAGCACTCTGCAGTGAACTCACAGAAGCTCACTTCAGAGAACACTGGAGTGGGAGAACTGGTTGGTCTTCTGGATATAGAGCAAGTGCAATTGTGAATGATTTGACACTCCATTTAAATTTTCCATTCGATATTGGCGTTGACGACTGTATTTGAGCCGGGAGACTATCTTTACTCCAACGGTGTTTCTTATTTACTATTGTGTGAAAAAAGTAAAAACTCTTCTCGCCTTCAGCTTCTCACGTAAAACCGTATACAAAATTAACACACTCGTCATCGCCAATACCGGTAGCTTTGATCAATGCGTATCATCCTTGTGCTTTATTCGTGTGGAAGATACCGATTTTTTTTTGTAGATTTACAGTTAACTTATGAAATTTCACCATTAGAATAAAGAGTTATAGTTTTTGCTGAGGACAACGGAGAGGTAATAATAAATAGGAATCTATGTTCGAGAGGTAAGCCCTTGAGAGCTTTTAGGAGAGTGAACTCGAGAGCACATTAAATTCATTTCTCTAGAGAGCGAGTGATTTTAGTTTTCACCACAGAAGTTCTCAATAAGCACTCTCTCACTTGGATTGTCGTGTTCTCACCGTAAACGTGGTATGCTCGTATGAGTTGCTATGCATACATCCTCGGAGGAGGCAAAATATACGTACGCTAGAGCCACATTTGGGTGAAATAACATCACTGAAGACAATTTTTGATAGCTTTAAGATAACTTTTTATCATTTGGACACTAAAATAGTCTGCTGATAATATACATTAAATAAATAAATAAATAAGAGGTTAACTGTAACTGACGAAAAATAAATGATTGCAGGTTATTTATAATTCCCAAAGCAACGGATATAGGATTTTTTACATATTTGTTTATACATATATTAGGAATATTTTTAGCCTTTGGCTAGTTCATCTCCATATGGATACACGTGATTATTCCGTAAATTAAAGTGTAAACGGTAAACATATAGCTACTTTTCCTTAAGTAGGATGTCATATACATGTTTACGCTAAGTCTGCAATTGGTTCGAACAAAATACCTCAATCACCCACTGAAGAGCTGCTGATGACTGCAATAGTGCATGTGAAAGATAAAAACCAAAAAGTTCCCAAGTGTCTAACATTTATTGATCCAGGCTCCGTTGACAAATATCAACTCATCATCAACGAGGATACCCTCAAATTTCGATCTAGCTAATCCAGAGTTCCATCGACGGATAACATCGCTTTGCTTATCGCTTGTGGATTGTTCTGGCAGTTGAAATTGGCTGAAAATCTTTGAATTTCTCAATTCAAGGCTTAGCAGGATCGTGACAGGAGAATTTATCAGCAACGGAGAAAAGCCAGTTGTAGTGCATTTGAATGTGTGAATTTCGTGTCAGTGTCAGATATATTGATTCAGAAATTTAATGAATTTGATGATATCCCTGATCGAGATGAAGAATTAAACGAAGAAGCTTTTACGACTTTCATTTCCAAGAGACGTTTACGAAATACGGAAAGTATTTTTTGTCGATAAGTGTTTCTTATGTAAAAAAAGGATGGGAACACAATGGTGCTGTCAGAATGGAAATCTAATTGTATTCATGTTGAGAAAATTTCGTTTTAAGTTTTAGAAATCCCACATGAAATATAAGCCAATATGAATATTAATTATTAATTTATATTAATATTCAATGAGAATTGTTAATTCATATTTATATTCCTTGTCTAATTTTCTCATAAAAACACTCTATAACTTTAATTGTAGCTTTATTTGTTCCGAAAATATTGATAAAAGAAAGAGGGGTCTCTGTTCCGCAATCTAGTGCCAATCACCGACGGACATCGACTGCCATCCATTGACGGCAATCGAATGTGCAGGAAGGAAGCTTCCACACCTGCGTAAGGTTTCACACACATGGGCCGGGACCAACAGCTTTACTTCCCTTCCGAAGGAAGACGTGGCCAGAGATTTTTATGCCTCAGAAAATTCCCACCGACTTCGGCTGGGATTGAACCCAGACCCATTGGGGTGAGAAAGCAGTCACGCTTACCACTACACCACCGCCACCGGTACAGGCACCGAGGGGGGCTTCAATCAGCACAAAAATGTGGATTCATAAAAGATAAACCAAAATAAACATCTCCTCCAAATTAGGCCCAAATCGTAAGAGGCATAGTTCACGTGCCTCCGACACTTGGCGCGGAATGACCCAGACATACCCATAGCATAGCATAGCATACAATTTCCAGACTTTTTTGTTGCCAAAAATGGAAGTTACCTAAAACGAAACACTACTGTATTTAATGACCAACAGTTGACTTTGGATCAAGAATTAAAGAGCAACATGTGATAAAAGCCTATGTGCCAAACGTAAATAATTACTCAATTTCTCTCGAATCAAGACTCATTCAGGCAAACATACAGCAGCATCTAGTAAAGGAATATTACTCTATCAGATAGATGGTGTAGCTATATTGCGTGGGTGTGTTGTGATTCGTGCTGCAGTATGTTTAATGATGTTAATGCTATTACATCATTACATAGCTTCATCTTTCTGCGAGATGGAAAATGTTAGTTGAACATGACGATCTTGCATTCAAAAATGGTATATTTTTCACCAAAGTTAAATTTAGTTTAACAACTGTCTAACCAAAGCTTTGGTTAGCGTTCAACAAAACGACGGAGATACACATGTTTATCGTTACTTAATTATGCTTTTCTTTTTCACAGGTGTTTTTATGTTAATGGCTGTAGGATTAATGTCCATTTGTACAGGAGTCTTATCACATGTATGGGAGCCATACATGTTAATTTTCAAATGGGTAAGTAATCATGATTTTGCTTATTTCAATGTATTTCCTCATGAAGCCTGTTTAAATATTTCATACCAGGGGGTGGGGTTGTTCAAAAATGTTGTGAAATGGTGGAGGCTTCATATTGAAATTTTATGCACGTAACACAATTGTTTTTCTTAATATCACTGTTTTCCTTAATACATACATGGAGCAGTAAAACTGGCCTGAAATAAGTTTAAGGTATTTTCACATGATATCATAGCTATTGTTAATTTCCAGGCCAAAAAACAAAAACCTGAATTTATCCACTTATGCTGACATCTGTCTCTTCTTACGTATTTTATTTATGGGCTATTTGCTCAAGTCTGCATTCACTGAAAAATGGAACATAATTTTTGATATGTAGGTCTGGGTCAAAATTTTCAGATGATACTTATTGGTCAACGGCAGATTTTTGCCAGAAAGCACTGTGAACAGCCTTGGCCTTGATGTGGCCAATACGATTTTCGACATTCTGACCACTTTCCCGGTTTGTAAATAAAGTTTTTTTTTTTAATTCCTTTAAAAAAAACTTGAAACTACCCACAGTGCTCCCGAAACATATCCGGATGTTTCCAATGTCCTGGGCATTTATTATAACCGCCTGAGCTTGTTTTTAAATTCTCATGTAATTTGAGGTTTGGTTCAATTCAGAAAATGGTAACTTCTCCTGGGGTACCCGGAACATGTCCGGATGTGTCTATTGTGGTTCTGGGCATTTTATATTATATCAAATGCCCAGAACCACAATAGACACATCCGGACATGTTCCGAGTACCCCAGGAGAAGATGTTCAAGATGTTGCTGCAGGAATGTTTGATTGAAGGTCATTTTCCAGACAGATGGAACATACAGAAGCTAGTGTTGCTGCCGAAGCCTGGAAAGCCCCCAGGAATCTAGCATCGTATAAGCCTATATGCTATTCTAGCAGCCCATATGTAATGACGTATGGAACATATGTTGCTGCTGTCAACTCAGTTGAATCAAATCAAAACATAAGGGGTATTTACAAAGCGCATCGTAAACGTATACACTATCGTAAATGCGTAAACTTCCATTACACTCCTGGTATTTTTACGATAGTGTATATGTTAACGATGCACATAGTGAATACCCCTATAATGTTTCGGTTGCGGTTGGTGATAAACGGATTAATCTGATATTAATCACACATAAGTAATCACAGATTTCATCAAATTCGCAGTCGTTGGCTCTGAACAAATAAAGAATATTCTATTGCTGTGTGAAACATTTGTTTTTTTTTCCATATGAGACTTAACTATTCAGTCACACAGAAATATTCATAATTATTTGTTAATAAAAGGTCCAAATAACAATTTTGTTGATTTTTCACATGGTTAATTTGATTAAGTCCTAAATTTGCAATTTTGTCAAAAATGAAATGGAGTGTTTCATTTTTCCCAACGACTGGAAGTGAGATGCTTTCATTGTCCATATCAGAAATAAAGTCAACATTGCGTTGGTGTATGTATATGTACTTCAGCGGGTAAACTAGACAAAATTTCTTCCGCTTTTCCAAAAAACTTATCATACGTGTCCTTATGAGCATTGTTCGGAGGAAAGTATACCGAAGCAAAGACATGTGTTTCGTCTGCTACTTGCGTTTTTACCCATACATGTTCGAATTCTTTAAATTTAGTAGCCATAATGATTTCTGAATTCAATTGGGTCGAAATCGCTATTAATACTACACCTCCCGATTTTTTTTCCAGAATATTTAAAATTGCGGTCGTCTCTCTAAACGTTATAATTGTTACCAAAAACTTCTTCACTTCTCACACTATCATCCCAACTTGTTTCATTAGCCATTATAACAGAGTAACTAGAACTTAAAATATTTTTGTAAATTTCATTAATTTTGCCGGCGCTTCTCATGCGGTTAACATTTTGGCAATATAGCAAAATGTCGGTAGTGGTCTGAAGATTAGATGAAGTAACCTGTCATTCATAAAACTATTATCAAAATTATTTACTCCTGATCCATGTTCCGAATTTGTTTCGTTCTGCAAAGTGTCGTGATCTTCGTTATTTTCTTCCTCTATGGAGCGTGTCAGTTTCGTAGAAAACACGAGTGCCTCTCCTTGATATAGAGAAGTTGTCAAGTCCTGGATAATGTCGGGGTCTGCCGGATCATTGTCTTCCTCCAAGCGGTGCGTCAATTTACAAAACACGAACTCCTGCATAAACATGCCTCGCATGATGCAGTTGCAGCCATCCCGTTATGCAAGTACGCTGGAACGGTACGTGGGTATTAGACTGATACAAAATTTAAAATTTTCGCTCCACAGTGCTTAAACGGTTCCAAATTGGGCCCTGATTAGCCTTTCAAAATTTGAACTCATTTAGTGAGAAACTGACTTGGCACAAATCATTTGAAGTTTATATGGGAATTACTATGGAGAAACCATAATTTCGATTCATATGTATCTCAAAATTCGCCAGTTCACTCTACTTTAGAAAATGATAGCTGAGCTTCTTGAAAATTTTCACAGCTACAACTTTGTTCAAGACCAGTTTTCGATCAAATGTAAGGAACAAAAGTTATTAATGATTCAAGTCACTGATGTCTTATGATTATGCTCAATCATCTGTTCAGCAGGCAACATTGGTGTTTATGGCGCGTAGAATAGAGGACAAAACCATGGCTACTTTGTCACACTGCAGAATACACTGGAGTCGCTTTTTACGCGGTTTTTTTTTACACGGTTTTTTTTTACGCGGTTTTTTTTTACGCGGATTTCGGAATTTACGCGGGTTTTTTTTACGCGGATTCCGGAATTTACGCGGTTTTTTTTTACGCGGATTTTGGTTTTTTTTTACGCGGATTTCAGAATTTACGCGGTATATCGCGTTTTACGCGCTTTTTTCTTACACGGTCTTTTTTTACTCGGTTTTTTTTACGCGGATTTCGGAATTTACGCGGTTTTTTTTTACGCGGAATCCGGAATTTACGCGGTTTTTTTTTACGCGGTTTTTTTTTACGCGGTTTTTTTTTACGCGGTTTTTTTTTACGCGGGACATATCACCCGCGTAAAAAGTGACTCCAGTGTACAGTGTTGCTCACAACACAGTTGCTTAATCGTGCCATAAGATTATCAATCTCTTAAACAATTAATAACTATTTAATTTGACGTTTGGCTGAAAAACGATTTTCTGCAAAGTTGTAGCTGATAAAAATTCCCATGAGAATAGCAATAGAATTTGTTAACAGTACAATATGTAAAAAGGCTAAAAGACAATGAACAAAAAGTTTTGTTTTCCCATAGTAATCTCCATATAAACTTCGAATGGTTTGTGCCAAGTCAGTTTCTTATCAAATGAGTTTAAACTTTCGGAGGCTAATCAGAGTTGTTGTTGTTGTTGTTGTTGTTGTTGTTGTTGTTGTTGTTGTTGTTGTTGTTGTTGTTGTTGTTGTTGTTGTTGTTGTTGTTGTTGTTGTTGTTGTTGTTGTTGTTGTTGTTGTTGTTGTTGTTGTTGTTGTTGTTGTTGTTGTTGTTGTTGTTGTTGTTGTTGTTGTTGTTGTTGTTGTTGTTGTTGTTGTTGTTGTTGTTGTTGTTGTTGTTGTTGTTGTTGTTGTTGTTGTTGTTGTTGTTGTTGTTGTTGTTGTTGTTGTTGTTGTTGTTGTTGTTGTTGTTGTTGTTGTTGTTGTTGTTGTTGTTGTTGTTGTTGTTGTTGTTGTTGTTGTTGTTGTTGTTGTTGTTGTTGTTGTTGTTGTTGTTGTTGTTGTTGTTGTTGTTGTTGTTGTTGTTGTTGTTGTTGTTGTTGTTGTTGTTGTTGTTGTTGTTGTTGTTGTTGTTGTTGTTGTTGTTGTTGTTGTTGTTGTTGTTGTTGTTGTTGTTGTTGTTGTTGTTGTTGTTGTTGTTGTTGTTGTTGTTGTTGTTGTTGTTGTTGTTGTTGTTGTTGTTGTTGTTGTTGTTGTTGTTGTTGTTGTTGTTGTTGTTGTTGTTGTTGTTGTTGTTGTTGTTGTTGTTGTTGTTGTTGTTGTTGTTGTTGTTGTTGTTGTTGTTGTTGTTGTTGTTGTTGTTGTTGTTGTTGTTGTTGTTGTTGTTGTTGTTGTTGTTGTTGTTGTTGTTGTTGTTGTTGTTGTTGTTGTTGTTGTTGTTGTTGTTGTTGTTGTTGTTGTTGTTGTTGTTGTTGTTGTTGTTGTTGTTGTTGTTGTTGTTGTTGTTGTTGTTGTTGTTGTTGTTGTTGTTGTTGTTGTTGTTGTTGTTGTTGTTGTTGTTGTTGTTGTTGTTGTTGTTGTTGTTGTTGTTGTTGTTGTTGTTGTTGTTGTTGTTGTTGTTGTTGTTGTTGTTGTTGTTGTTGTTGTTGTTGTTGTTGTTGTTGTTGTTGTTGTTGTTGTTGTTGTTGTTGTTGTTGTTGTTGTTGTTGTTGTTGTTGTTGTTGTTGTTGTTGTTGTTGTTGTTGTTGTTGTTGTTGTTGTTGTTGTTGTTGTTGTTGTTGTTGTTGTTGTTGTTGTTGTTGTTGTTGTTGTTGTTGTTGTTGTTGTTGTTGTTGTTGTTGTTGTTGTTGTTGTTGTTGTTGATGTTGTTGTTGATGTTGTTGTTGTTGTTGTTGTTGTTGTTGTTGTTGTTGTTGTTGTTGTTGTTGTTGTTGTTGTTGTTGTTGTTGTTGTTGTTGTTGTTGTTGTTGTTGTTGTTGTTGTTGTTGTTGTTGATGTTGTTGTTGTTGTTGTTGTTGTTGTTGTTGTTGTTGTTGTTGTTGTTGTTGTTGTTGTTGTTGTTGTTGTTTCTTTCAAACCTTAAAATCGACGATAGAAGTGATAACAGTTAGTTTAGTTACCGATAATCGAGTCCGACATAGAGCTTTTTTGTAGTGGTAAGCGTGATAACCTCTCACCCCAGCAGGCCTGGCCGCCGGGATGTTCTGAGGCATAACATCTCTGATGGGTCGATAGGTAGGGTCCAGGTGTGGGAACTGCCTTCCTGGCACGTTATGTTGAACTACATAAGTTGTTGTTGTTGTTG